CCAATTGTTTCACTCGTATTCTGAGGGCCTCAGCCTGGAATTTCACATGTTGAAACATTATGTTTTCCTTATCGCGCGCGCGCGCCGGCGCGCGGGCAATATGGAAACAGCGTGATGGAGGCATTGGAAGTACGAGTGAAACAGCTTGTTTCCACCATTCATTTTTCAGGGTGGCGCGTGTCACCTTTGATTTTTTCATATGGCGCCTTTTGTTTTTTTGTGTTGAGCGCGCGCGCGACAAGGAAAGCGTTGTGTTTGAGGATCGAGCATTCCATGTTGAGGTCACCAGAATATGAAACAATTGATTTTCACCATTGAGTTTTCGAACTTAAGATGGGCATTGCAGATGTTGTTGTCGTGCACGCGCCAGGGCGCGCGCGAGTGCGCGCGCGTGCGTGATAAGAACACGTGCTATTCGACTATGTATATTTCCCTGCCGCGGCCTTCATAATACCAGTAAAACAGATGGCTTCATCATTCAATTCTCGAATTTAACATGGAAGATTTATGTGCGTTATAGAATGACATGCTTACGAACACTCAACATGTGTTGTTGTGTCTCCTTTATTTGTGTATCGAGCGCGTGTATTGTGTTTGCAGAAGAAGCAGAGTTTCTACGGCCTGTTGTGATACTTGTTAGAACAACCAAGACATTTGACAAACAAACCAAGACATCTAACAAAAAAACAAGACATCTGACAAAAACCAAGACATCGCACAATCTGGAACAAAAACCAAGACAATCCACAAAAACCAAGACATTTCGCAGCTATGAAAAAACAATACCTTCGGATGTCTGGGGAGGTGACGTGCCCCCGCCGATGCTCAGGTCCACTATGACACCTTGCTTGAACGTCTGCCCCTGCGCCGCATGGGCCGTCACTCCGAAGGCCGGAGCCAGCGGGAACTGCCGTCTTTTGACCTTCAGTCGCGGATGCGGACGGCCCTTGTCCACGAACCACTCCTTCTTCTGCGGAATCACGGGGTGCAACCCGGGCGTCTTCATTCCCTCGATCGTCCACTGGCACGGCTTCCTGCCGCCTTTCCCGCCATCGCCTTCGTCGAACAACACGAAAATCACTTTCGGAGTCTTCTTCAATATGGTCTCCCCGCCGCGCGTGACTCGATCATTGTCGCCGTCGCCGTCGCATGCCCAGGATTGCACCCGGCCCACGCGACCGCGCAACAGGTTTTTGTCCTCGCTTCGATCGATATGATCGGTCAGAGCGACGGGCATGCCTTCAACGATGGGCAAGAAGCCGTACAAGTCCCCGCTCTCCTTGTCGTGGCGTTGGAGCCATGCCATCTTCTGCTGCGCCAGATCCGGCCGCTCCCGCAGCGCCTCTGGCGTGGGCGTATCTCGCGCAGGGACGTATACCATCGGCTTCCTGTGCTTCCGTGCGTACTGGGACGCACGGAGCTTGTTCGCCTCGTACTTCACGTCGTTGTTCGGGAACACACCCGGCGCCACGAGGAACTTGTCTGACTGCAGACGCGGGTCGTCGGGTCCATCCACCACGAGCTTGCGGCGTGCGCGTTCCGCTCTGCACACCTTGCACTCTTGCTCGCGGATATCTTTCGGCTCCACGGGGCGTTTCCGTCGTTGCCCCGCGCTTGGCGACGCTGCGTCCCTTCCGCCACTGCATAATTCCCGACACGCCCGATTCCCGCAGCATGCGTCCCCCCCAGCCAGCTCCCAGGAACGGTCGTATGCCGGCCGTGCAAGAATGCGTGCGCATCCGCCGACAGCGACCCTCTTCGGAATTCCCCCTGCACCTCCTTCAACCAGGCGTCGTCGCATCGCTCGCGCTCTTCCAGCTCTGTCACGCCCTGAACCCCACACTCGGCCCCGCCCCACAATAGCGATTGCCCGTGCAACACGGGCGGCAGCGAAGTGTACTTGCGCGCAGCCGAAATCCGCTCCGTGGGGACGTCGGCGAGGAAGCCTCCGTCAGGGGGGGCCAGCTGCCAGAAGTCAGCACTCAGCACGACGTTCAGGCCGCCGAACGGACGTGGAACGCCATCGTCGCCGAGTTTCGTCGTGCCCACGTCCCGAATGACCCCGCGAAGTTTCGCGTCCACTTCTGCTAGCAGTCTAGCGCTCACCATGCTTATCTCATCGATAAAGAGCCACCTCCACTGGAGCAGCCGCTTCGCAGTCTCGTACTGCAATTTCACGTCCTCCCCACCCTTGTCTTGACCCCGCTTGATGGCCGGAATGCCACACGCATGGTGAATGGTGTCGCCTCCCAGCAGCTGAGCCATGACGGCCTGCAAGGCGGTTATCTGGAAGTGCACTCCGATAGTCTATTTCAGCACCTTCTCGAACAACTCATGACGAATAATGCGAAGCACGTGCGACTTGCCGGTCCCAGGGCCCCCCGTGCATGCACCACTGCAGCGGCTCACCCGTGCGCGCAGAAATCCGCCGACCGCAAAGGCGTGTGCAACATCCTGTAAACAGCCTACAAGAATGCGATCTGGACTTCCCTCTCTGACCTTCCACCACGCGTCGCTTCATGTCCGCGCCGAGACTTCCCCACCACGCCTCCATCCCCCACCCTCTGGGAGCTCTATGCTTGGGCTTCCCCACCCAAAACTTGCTCACCCTGACCCGATCCTGACTCCCCACCTAGGCACCACTTGCTCCGAACCCCTCCCCCCGCCACGCCCCCACCACGCCGCCACCACGCCTCCACCACGTCTCCACCACGCCTCCACCACGTCTGACACCGTCAGCCCCCCGGAACCTCTGGGCATAGGTTGTCATGGCGCCTCCACCCTGCAAAATCCTTGCCGGGACCTCCCCCACCACGCCAAAACCACGCCTCCACCAGCCACCTGGAACCTCTTGGACTGAATTTTTGAGAGCCACCCATCATGCAAAAAGCGTCCCGGGACCATTCCACCCTGCCCCCACCACGCCTCCACCGCGCCTGACACCACCAGCCTCCTGGAGCCTTTGGGACGAAGTTTTTGGGGACCACCCACCATGCACAAAGCGTCCCGGGACGCCTTCACAATGCCCCCACCACGCCTCCACCGCGCCTGACTCCGCCAGCCTCCTGGAGCCTCTGGGACTGAGTTCTTCGAGGACACCCACCATGCAAAAAGCGTCCCGGGACGCCCCCACCCTGCCCCCACCACGCCTCCACCGCGCCAGACACCGCCAGCCTCCTGGAGCCTCTGGGATTGCGTTGGTGTGGGCCACCCACCATGCAAAAAACGTCCCAGGACCCCCACACCCTTCCCCCACCACGCCTCCAAGGCGCCTGACACCGCCAGCCGCCTGGAGCCTCTGGCACTAAGTTTTTGGGCGCCACCCACCATGCACGCCTCCAAGGCGCCTGACACCGCCAGCCTCCTGGAGCCGCTGGGACTGCATGTTTCGGGGCCACCCACTATGCAAAAAGCGTCCCGGGACCCCCCCACCCTGCCCCCACCACGCCTCCACCACGCATCCACCGCGCCTGACACTGCCAGCCTCGTGGAGCCTCTGGGATTGAGTTCTTGGGGGCCACCAACCATTCAAAAAACGTCCCCGGACCCCTCCAAGAGGCCCCCTAACGGTCCAACACGAAATCCCAACGAACATCGACTAGGCTTCATACCCACAACCCAGACACAGTGGCGGGATGGGCCGAGGGCCATTCGATAGAGAGGAGTCCGAGGTGCAACAGAGAATCAGGAGTCCAGGGGGCAAGGCTGAGGCCTGGATGTCTCACCTGAACCTTTTCATTCCCTGCTCGGGAAAGCACCCTGACAACAAACGAATTAAACATGCGTCGCTCAATGGGGGTCGGCGGCAGAGGCGGCAGCCTTTAGATTGTAGGGAGGTCCCACGCGAGAGCGCGATTAGTGCATACATTCTAAGGAATGTCTGCGCGAGAGCGCGATTTTGGAATGAACTGCGAAGACCTATCAGGCGGGAGCCACTTCTGTTCTTTTTCAATCGGGAGCCAAGGGCGCAGTTCGGTGACCCTACACCCTCCATGTAAAAAAGCATGTGCCAGCCCCGGGAGGAGCACTCTCATGGAAAAAACACAGTGTTCTGGTGATCGTCATCATGTTGCTTCGAAAGATCCCCATCCGAGAACGCGGGGCCAGATTTTCACGGGACACCGGGCTCCAAAGCGCCTGGCGGCTGCGGAATGCAGCCGTCACCCGTCGAGGACGAGAACCTGGATACCCAGAGAGCCCCAGGATCCGGGATCCTTCGGGCCTGGCGGCCGGCCCTGGCATGCAGGGTGTGCGAGGCGGGTCGGGAGAGAGCTCTGTTCCACACAAGCTTCGCGCATCGGTTCTGAGCCCCGCGCGCCAGAGGCGGAGAACCGGCCAGGACGGACCCTGAGGGAATTCGGGTCGGCGGCGGGACGAGGGGGGAGAGAGGGGCGGCCGAGCAGGGAGGCAACTCAGGGCGCCTTGGAAGGTCATCTCAAAAGGCGGGATTGCTTCTATGAGAGAGTTTGGAAGGGCAGACGTCCGCCCAAGCTTCCTGGGCTAGGACGGCGCTGACACCCCTCCCGCGCGACAAGGGTAGCCGACACCACCGCCGCCGCCGCCGCAATCCGCGTCGCCGTCGTCTGTCGCCAGTCCCTAGTCGCCGTCCTGGTCGCCGCCATCCTCACCGTCGGATGTCGTCAAGTTTCTCGGGGTTCCTGAACGGGCCCTTCAGGAAAGCAGGACTGCCTCGTAGAGCGGGGGAGCAGAAGCAGTACAGCATCAGTGCCACGCCGCCGTGGGGAACCCATCAGCGCGCTCCTGCGGAAGGTTCTCGGATCTCCGTAGCCACGTCCGCATGCTTCGGTGCTATCCCTGCTGGCTCGCGCGCCGTCCTGTGGACGAGTTGCCATGCCTTGGAAGAGAAACGAAGGAGGAGCACGCCGACAGCCCCTAACGACGGCGTGTCACTCACGCGTTCCAAGGGGCCCAAGGACACACAAATAAATACATACAAATAACAGAATTCCCCATATTTTACCATGTTTTCTAAAGAATCGACGATTGATTGTGTCTGTGTGATTTTTTCCATCCTGAACTCCCCCAACCCCCTTACGCAGGAGGCCGCCCCTCTCCCGCTACCCCAGTTTTGCTCCCGTTCATCGAGCGCTCGCTCGGGAAAATCGAGTGGGGAAAGCGGATCGAATCGGAGGATATGTCGCATCGGGTTGCATCGGCACGGAGTCGAAATCGTATCGGACTGGCTGCCTCAAGTGGCACAACAATGAGGCAAGCATCGCGCCGCATCGGATTGCCAGGACATCGAAAGCGAGCCAGATCAAGCTGGGCAAGCGCGACACCGACTCAGATCGATCAAATCGAAATGTGCCCAGGGTGAGGGCGGTGCTGGGGCCTTGCGGTACTCGCGAAGAAAGAGGGCGAGTTCCTCGATGGTCAGCGAGTCCTCCTCCTGGCGGCGCGGGGCACCCCACTCCCTCCATCATGCTCTCATGCTGCCTGCTCCTCCTTCGCTGTACCAGAGATGATTCCCCTTTTTCCCACCCCTCCTCATCCTCCTCCGACTGCCCACGCTCATTTTGCACGTCCGCGTCAGCAACATCATCCGCATCCATATCCTCAACATCCTCGTCGTCACATTCGTCGCCATCCTTGCCACCACAATCATAAACAACATCAACATCTCCACCACAACCACACATGCCGACATTATCACCACACACATTTGCAATCATGTTCCTGCTGCTGCTTCGGTCTCTGGATCCTACCCGGCATGTTTCTGCTCATGTGCCTGTTCACTCGGCAATCATATGTGATGTCCTATTTCTGAGAGCACATGTTCCCAATTTTCCGCGGGCTTCTGGACATTATGTGGAAATCCCCTGAGAGAACGTTCCCGCCAAGTTTCCTCGGATGTTCGGGAACACTTATATTCGCACATCCTCTTTGTTTCAGGTTCCTTGGCCATGCTTCTTCGGGCCCCGATTTCCACTCCAGGATTCGACCCTTCGGCGCACGACTACAACATCGCATTCGGCGACCTCCATCTGCTCCTTCCACGGCGACGACCATCAACGACGTCAGCCAATCCTGCGGGGACCATCATAGGCCCCACCCCCTCGGGCGCTTCAACTACAAGGACTGGTGGGAGTCTCGCCCCCGTTCTTCCCATGTTTCACATTACGGCGTCATTTGCCAATGAAGGAGGGCGAATGACTCTTTTAGGACCCTCGGCCAACGAACATGTCCATAAAACGAGGCTCCAAACGCACGTCCACCTTATCTACACCGTAAACCACTACACCCGTCAACCAATGTCTCATATTTTCCATGGGGCCGCGAACGGGATCCAGTAAACCATCAATATGTCCATTATGGCGTCACTAGCCCCACCAATACCCCAATTCACCGCAAGCGAAGGTTCGATTAGCGCCACCGCCACCTCACTCACATGTGCCGCCGTGGCCTCACTCATGCGGTCGTTCCCGCGCCCCGTCCCTTCACCAAGCTCTCCGAGGATGTGCACGACAATTACCCCGACGATGCACCCAACCCTTGCGCGACGCGTGGATACACTAGCCGGGTAGAATTTCCAAGGGGCGATCAAATAGCAATGCTCATGTTTCGCGCGAGCGTGACGTGGGAGGCTCGCGAGCTGCGCGACTCGCAAGAAACCGATCGATGGACAAAAGCTCGACGGGGATGAAGAATTATCCTGCTGGATCGATGGGGGCGGGGGGGCGAAAAGAAGGCGGCCGAGGACCCTGAAAATGCAGCGGGGCAACAGCAAAAAGACGTGGCAACAAGATGGAGAGAAGTGACGACGAGAGAAAGGCAGCGGAAAGCGTGATGCTATGTTTTGATGCGCGCCACCAATCTACTATAGTCAGAAAGAACCGCGCGAGGCCGAGCTGCTCTTCCAATTGCTTGGCCTCTTCCCGCCAGTTCCCAATGCGGGATGTACAGGCGCGCAGGCGCGCCGCGAGGTCGAATCTGAGTCTGCGCAGGACGTCACTACAGTCAACCCGCAGAGTAAGGATGCGCGATAAGGAAGCAAGGTCCTTGGAAGCCCATCTCGAAGCGTTTCGAGCGGGGCGCGGCCAAAGAGAGTCTCCAAGGATGAACCCAGGAAGCAAGGATGCAAGGGTACCCTTGGGAGGGATGCCTATCCTTACTCTGCGGGTCGACTGTATGCTGGACCCCGTGCACCCCTCGGAAGTGGCTGCAGTTTCGCTGATCGCAGACTCCAAGGGATGGCGAGGTAGAATCTGAATCTGCATAGGACGTCAATGTGCCGCCTTCGAAGATGGCGACGATTTCGCAGATCGCAGCCCACGCAAACATGGCGAGGTCGAATCTGACTCCGGGCAGTACGTCTCTGCGACGCCCCCCCTAGCAGCCCTCGAAAATTGCGACAATTTCCCATACCGCAGCCCCCGAAGGCTGGCGAGTTCAAACCTGGATGTGAGGAGGCCACTGCGCTGCTCCCCCCTCGAAGAGTGCGACAAGTTGGAAAATCTCAGCTTTTGAACATGGCGAGATCGAACCAACACCACGCATGACGTCACTGTTCTTCTGCCCCCCCCCCAGCAGCATCCGACAGTGGCGACGGTTTCGCCGATCGCAACCAGCCCCCCCAAGAATGACAAGGTGGCGACCGCTTCGCAGATCGCAACCCCTCAGGGATGGGGTGGGCTACTCTTACTCTGCGCGTGGCGTCACTGCGCTGCCCCCCCCCCCCCCCACCCCGCCCAGCCCCCAGCAGCCCTCGAGAGTGGCGAAATTTTCGCAGATCGCACCCCCCCAGGGTTGGTGAGGTCGAATCAAAATCTGCGCACGGCGCCACTGCGCTGGCGCGCCCGTCTGCCCCCGAAAGTGGTGGCGGCATCGCAGATCGCAGCCCCCAGGGACGGCGAGGTCGAATCTGAACTCGCGCATGGCGCCAATGTCGCGCCCCTCGAGCGCGGCGACAGTTTCGCAGAGCGCAACACCCAAGAGATGGCGAGGTCGAATATGGGCCCGCGTGCTGCGTTACTGCGATGCGTCCCCAGCAGCCCTCGGAAGCGGCGACAGTTTCGCGGAACGCAGCCCCCCGAGGGCGGCGTGCTCGGAGGCGGGCGGACGAGAGGAACGACGCAGGGAGAGAAAGAGAGACAGAGCGAAACCATGAAGCAGAGAAAGAGGGAGAGAGAGCGAGAGGGAGAGAGAAAGGAGGAGAGAGAGAGAGAGAGAGAGAAACAGCAAGAGAGAGAGAGAGAGAAACATAGAGAAAGAGAGAGAGAGAGAGAGAGAAAGAGAGAGAGAGAGAGAGAGGGAGAGAGAGAGAGACACAGAGAGAAAGAGAGAAGCAAGGAGAGGACGAGAGGTAAAACAGGGCCATGACAGAGAGAACAACAAACAATCAGTGAGAGAGAAAGGAGAGGGAGAGAGAGAGAGAGAGAAAGCGATCGAAAGAGAGAGAGAGAGAGAGATCGAAAGAGAGATATAGGGATAATGAGCGCGCGCGAGAGAGAGAGAGACGGGGAAACAAGAGAAATCTATATATATAGAGAGAGAGAGAGAGAGAAACTGAGTTGAGGAAGAAACAACTAGAGAAGAGAGAGAGAGAGAGAAATAACAAACAACGAACAACAAACAGGAGTGACGATTCCATAGCAACATATCGATATACATGATAGAAACAAAGGGGGAGGTAGAGAACGAGAGATAGAGAGAGAACGAGAGAAAAACAAACAGAGAGAAAGAGAGATATAGAGAGAGAGAGAGAGAAACACACAGAACAGAGAGGGACACTAACACGGGAGATCAAGAGAGAGAGAGAGAGAACGAAAAATGTGAGACAGAGAGAGAGAGAGAGAGAAAACGAACAAGGGGAGGCAGAGAGAGGGGGAGATGACGAGATAGGGATGCATGGAGGGATATATCTATACATATATATATAGACTATGAGAGAGAGAGAGAGAGAGAGAGAGAGAGAGAGAGAGAGAGAAAGAAATAAAGAAAGAGAGAGAGAGAGAGAGCAACAACAAAAAAACAAAAAATGCCCGCGAATGCTGGCACATTCCTCCTCCCTTGGTCGGCGACTCAGACGGGTGCGGCTTGCAACAGACACCCTGGGGGGCACCTGGGGGGCGGGTGGGGGCCCTGCTAGGGTTACCCGATGCGCCCCGAGGCCCCGACAGCGGCGCGCCCGCAGGCCCCGACGGCGCCGATCGCAAACCACACCCCGGCGTAACCATACCCGTTGTGGTCGCCGACCTGGGGTGACTGGCGCTTCGTCCACCAACATAAGCTACTCAGCAGAGGGGCCGCAGCGAGAAGACGCAGAGCCAACGCCACCGGGGCGGCAACGGCGGCGCGACGACGACGACGACCGGTAGGCTCTGCCCTGGCTACCAGAGGCCGCAGATGGCCGCTGGGGCGTCGTAGTCGTCGTCGTCGTCCTCGTCGTCGTCGTCGTCCTCGTCGTCGTCGTCGTCCTCGTCCTCGTCGTCGTCCTCGTCGTCGTCGTCGTCGTCGTCCGCGGCGCTCCTCCACCTCGTCGAACTTGTCGAGGCACTCATACACGGCCTTCGAAAAAGAGGGGGTGAGGGGATGGGAAGAAGCGATGCTTCCAATCCAGGCGTGGCAGGAACATCGTGGCCAAAACAAATTTGGTGTACTGTCGAGCAACTGCGCGCCCGCGGGCAACCTGCTGGACTTCTCACCACGACAGTGTCCGAGGCCTGCAGGAGGAGAGACAAGCATAAACACAAACTTTCGTAGGCTCGCGCCGACTGCTTGTGGAGCGCTGAAACTGTGGTAAACCATAAAACGGGCGCGACCGCGAAAACCACGCCCGTTGACACGCGTCGCCCGCCGCTGCCCAGCAGGTGGAATTTTCAAGCCCTCGTCGGAAATGTCCTGGTGTACGGAGACCTGAGGGACGGCGCCACAAACGCCGCCATGGGTCATGGAACTAGACGCCGGCAATATAGATCCGCCAGGACCTCCGAAAGCTGCGTGCTGATGCAATTTCTCTGCTCCTCGACTCCGCGACCTGCAAGTCCAATCGACGCTGGGGTATCCGACGCCCCAGCTGGGGTTGACCTGGCTGCAGACACCCTGCAATGTCTGAACCCTTGCCAATAAATCTAGCCAGCACGGGGTGGGTTCACATGTTGTTGCCTATCGACGCTCAAGGCGACGGGGCCGACCGCAGGCGCCCCCGACGTGCGTTTCACACGCTGTCATGCTGTGATTGCGATTCACGTTCCCCGCCGCGGCGAGAGCAGCTGGGGGAGGCAAAACAGGGGGGGGAGAAGGATGGAGGAGGAACGAGCGAGCATGCAGCAGTGCTGTCCAAAGAACGATCGCACAACCCGTTATCAGGACATGGCAAAGGGGTAGGCAAAGGAGGAACGGGTAAGAGGCACATGTGGAAGACAAGAGAATGATATAAACGTGTGAAAGGGTCCACCGCCGATCCGGTCAATCCGAACGGATATCCGCCATGTTTATGTTTATGTAATTGTACTCCCCCTTCGACGGAAGGAAGGCGGGAGTAGGGGCGACGACAAATTCCGCTGGCCGTCCTGCTCCCTATTCCCCGACCAGCGACCTCGACCGACGTCACGTAGCCGAAGTCGGAGAGCACGTAACCCAAGTCCTGTCGACGCGGGGCTTGCACTATTTTCCGCACGGCCAACGACAACAATAAGAACGGAATTCAAGGATGCGCGAACGGAACAGTCGACGCGCGGACCCAAACAACTACAAAGAACGCAAGGGACCCTGGCATAGCAATTGGAGGCTGCCGGGGGGTCTGAACTGGCTGGGACACCAGACAGTTGGCCAGGAGGGTGGATGAGGCCAAACCGAGCGGACCCCAACATCCTGAGTGAGGGCCTCCTTTCCTTGGACTGGCCAGGCGCTGCACCAAACTGGCTCTGATCTCTCTCCGCTCTGAACTGCATGCCAACATGCCATGCTACAACGTGCTGCTATCGTGCCTGGCCGTTTCTACGTGATCGGGGGCTGGAGACGCGCGCGCCCCCTTGCAGCAACCCCCTCAGACCATAGCGGCCGCCAACAGCCCGCGCGACCGGCCTCTCTGTCGGCCAGTCCTCAGTACAACGCACAGCCACTACCAAGTAGTCTCCAGCGACCTGGTCCCCCCGCAGGGAGTCTTGCCCAAGTTGGCCAAGCTCGAGCCTTCAGCCTAAAACCATCAGCTTAGTGCCTGACTGAAAACTAGCTGGAGACGACACAACCAAGTACCGATTCGCACTGGGCTGGCAAACGCGCGAACCTAAGCGAAGTCAGCCACGCAGCCTGCAGCGCTTATAAGCTCCATTATCTCGCGAGCCCGAACGAGTCCCTTGCATGCGTTCGAACCATTGCGCGCTCCATCCAGCCCGTCATTCCCCTCGCGGTCCCTCCCTCTCCATCCCCATATCCTCCCGAGTCAGCCCTCGGCTCATCCATAGCGACACCGCTCCGAGGACGGGACAGGGAACGTGGCGACGAGGACGGCCACACCAAGCCGAGACACCACCACCTGACAGTCTGGGGGCCCGCGGAGGGCCATGGGAAAACGGACGCGGCGGAAAATCTCAGGTCCCGTCCCCCCGGGGCCCCGTTCGTTTTGTGGCGGGACGCGACGGCGGTCCCTCCGGAGGCGGACTGCGCCGCTGGGAAGCGTGGCCGACGCGGGAAGCTACTTGGTTTGCGCTTCGTGCTCGCTGTCCCCCACCCAACTGGGGGGATCAAAAACAATATCAACGTCTCATTGCGGTCTGGGGGGTTCTCCACAACTGCCGCCTGGGGGTCGTCATGCGGGGGTTCGGCGGGCGATGGATATGGATCAGCTCGGGCCGTGGGGGCGGGGAAATATATCCATCCCCGCTGCCTGACGAGCACCACGGGGATCGATGCCCTAGACGGCAATTCCGGACACATCCCCGCATCGGACGCGCCGCAGTGGGGAACCCATCCACGTGTTCGGATTCAGAAACCATGAGGTCCCCGGACAAGACGGGATCCAGGCCATGAAGAGAAGGAAGGCCAATGACCGGGCCGGAATTAGAAGAGAAATGCTGAATGATGGAGGCGACGTCCTAGTCCGAGCCGTCACGTCTCTCCTAAACGATATCATCTTGCCCGACGAAGCCCCGACGCCAGATGCTTGGACACAATCGTCAATCACTGTGCTGTTCAAGGATAGGGACCCCAGGCTTCCAGCCAATTACAGGCCGATCGCCATCTCCCATCTTCATATACGCCGTTCAGTCGACTGATGAGACGCCGTCTAACACATCTCCTGGATACGTTTCAGTGTGAGGCTCAGGTCCAAGTACAACACGCTTGTGTCGCTCCAAAAGAAATGCGACGAATGGGGAATGCCGATATGTGTGGCCACCCTTGAATACGGAAAAGCTTGTGACAGCATCAAGCACGACAGCTTGTGGGCAGCGTTGCAGAGCCAGGGCGCCCCAGCAGCATAATTACGTTGAACTCTTGCAGAAGCTATACTCCTCGCAGCAAGCCAGCGTCAACCTCGATCGCGCCAGCAAGGAATTCGCAATCAACAGGGCACCAAGCAGGGTGACCCCCTCAGCCCCATCTTATTCAACGCAGTGCTGGAGTACGTGCTCAAGCCGCTGGAGGTCGACTGGGCCGCCCGGCACTTGGAGTTCGTGCTCGAGGACAGCAGATTAAAAGAATCTGCGATTCGCTGACGACGTCTTCCTGGTGAGTTCTTCGTGGGCGGGTTTGAAGATGATGCTCGGCGACCTAGCTTCGGCCAGCCACGAGTGCGGACTAGTGCTGCATCCAGGGGAAACAACAATACTGTCAGACGCCCGTTGGCGGAGGGGCGAGGCTGGCCAGCAACTCATTTTTGTTCGAGGCATGAATACAGAGCTCTTCAGACGAGCAGTTAGCGGCAAATATATTTGGGCAGGACGATATCTTTCCAAGATGCGCACATGGTGGAGCTAGAGGCCTGGATTCAGAGCGCATGGGAGAAGCTCCGCGTGTTCAAAGCAGAGCTGACGACCAACAACTATTCATTGTCGTCGAGAACCCGCTTGTTCGATTATGCCATTACCCCTTGCGTGCTTTACGGGGCTTCCATATGGTCTCTGGCAATTGAAACGGAGAGAGCATTGCTGAAGGCCTAACGCCAGATGCTAAAATTGGTGACTGCAGCCGGTCGTAAACGCTTACCGGTCCATCCTTCTGGAGGTTCGGAAAATTCGGACGCGCACGGAACCGATCAATCCGAACAACACGAAGAAGAAACCGGCACCCTCGAACCATGGTCTGACTTCATGCAACGCACGGCCAGGGAGGTACAGCTGCGCTGACATTCTTTGAATGTTTCAGATTTGTTCGTTGAATGCAGACAAATCAACTTCCGGTTGGCCGGGAGACGACGCAGTACCAACTCTCAGAAATTGTCCCGTTCTTCGACAGGGACCCATGGAAACATCGCGCAGGCCGGCCAACATGGAGGTGGAACGCTTGTGTCGCCAACTTCTGCAACTCATGAATTTGGGCCGGCGTCAGTTGGATGACTATCGCAGCAAGTTCGGATTCTTGGCACCATCTGGGCGCGAATTTCACGAATTCTCACAACTTGCTGCAGCGTGCTGACAAGCCTTGAATCATACTTTCCTGCTCCCATGCATGGGGCACTCTGCTCTACGGGGGCGTGCCGCTCTCCCCGTTCCCGTGGCCAGCTCTGGTTGCCTAGAGCGATGGTCGTGTGCTCGTTCGCCCGGGGGCCCTATCATTTTGTGGCGGGACGCGACGGCGGTCCCTGCGGAGGCGGACTGCGCCGCCGGGAAACGTGGCCGACGCGGGAAACACTTGGTTTGCGTTTCGTGTTCGCTGTCCCCCCCCCCCCAACTGGGGGGGGGTCGAAAACAATATCAACGTCTCATTGCGGTCTGGGGGGTTCTCCACAACTGCCGCCTGGGGGTCGTTATTCGAGGGTTCGGCGGGTGGTGGACATGGATCAACTCGGGCCGTGGGGGCGGGGAAATCTATATCCATCCCCGCTGCCAGACGAACGCCACGGATATCGATGCCCTAAACGGCATTTGCGAACACATCCCCACACCGGACGCGCTGCAGTGGGGAACGCATCAGCGTGTTAGTTTTCAAAAACAAATTGGTTCCCGGGCAAAAAATGATGGAATTGTTCCCAACCGCCGCGTTTCAATGATGCTCTGCTTCCCCGGCGACCCCCCCCCAATACTATTACTAGAACCACGCGCGCGCTTCGCGCGCGCTTAGGTTCTGTCGAGTCACAGACCCAGGAATCGCTGCGAGAAGAAATTGGTGACGCGAAGCGTCTTGGGGGCGTCCTTGGACGTCTGGGGTCTCCTGGGGCCTCTTGAGGGGCCTCCTGGGGGCCTCCTGGCGGCCTCTTGGGGCGGAAGGCTCGAGCTTGCGGTTCGTGGTCCCCCTCTGGGCCCCCTCTTGGGCCCGTCTTGGGGCCCTCTTGGGCCATCTTGGGCGCCTCTTGGGCCGTCTTGGGGCCCTCTTGGGCTGTCCTGGGGCCCTCTTGGAAGCTTCTTGGGCCGTCTTGGGGCGGTCTTGGGCGCCTCTTGGGCCGTCCTGTAACGTCGGAAAACCCAAAAGACAACTTTGTTGAAAATGTACGTTTTACGAAGGGAATGGGCCAATTTTTGCGTCTAGGGGCCCTCTTGGGACGCATGTTGGAGGCTTCTTGGGGCCTCTTGGGGGCGTCCTTGGACGTCTGGGGTCCCCTGGGGCCTCTTGAGGGGCCTCCTGGGGGCCTCTTGGCGGCCTCTTGGGGCGGAAGGCTCGAACTTGCGGTTCGTGGTCCCCCTCTGGGCCCCCTCTTGGGCCTGTCTTGGGGCCCTCTTGGGCCATCTTGGGCGCCTCTTGGGCCGTCTTGGGGCCCTCTTGGGCTGTCCTGGGGCCCTCTGGGAAGCTTCTTGGGCCGTCTTGGGGCGGTCTTGGGCGCCTCTTGGGCCGTCCTGTAACGTCGGAAAGCCCAAAAGGCGACTTTGTTAAAAATGCACGTTTTACGAAGGGAATGGGCCAATTCTTGCGTCTAGGGGCCCTCTTGGGACACATGTTGGAGGCTTCTTGGAGCCTCTTGGGGGCGTCCTTGGACGTCTGGGGTCTCCCGGGGCCTCTTGAGGGGCCTCCTGGGGGCCTCCTGGCGGCCTCTTGGGGCGGAAGGCTCGAGCTTGCGGTTCGTGGTCCTCCTCTGGGCCCCCTCTTGGGCCCGTCTTGGGGCCCTCTTGGGCCATCTTGGGCGCCTCTTGGGCCGTCTTGGGGCCCTCTTGGGCTGTCCTGGGGCCCTCTTGGAAGCTTCTTGGGCCGTCTTGGGGCGGTCTTGGGCGCCTCTTGGGCCGTCCTGTAACGTCGGAAAGCCCAAAAGACAACTTTGTTGAAAATGTACGTTTTACGAAGGGAATGGGCCAATTTTGCGTCTAGGGGCCCTCTTGGGACGCATGTTGGAGGCTTCTTGGGGCCTCTTGGGGGCGTCCTTGGACGTCTGGAGGCCATCTTCAGCATCTCGGAGCCCTCTTGGAGGCCTCTTGGAAGTTTCTTGGGCCGTCTTGGGCGCTTCTTGGGCCGTCTTGTCTGACTGGGGAGGCCTCCGGCAAGCCCCGACGAGCCTCCGGGCCCCCCGGGGTGCACATTTGTGGTCGAGGTCCCGGCCCCGGGCCCCCGGACCCGGTGCGCCGATATATGTATACATTTTCGGGGGCCTTGTTTGTCCCGTCGCGCCCAATCCGCGTCGAATCCGTGTCGCGTCCACGTCGAACTCGTCGAATCAACGTCGGTCCACGTCGAATCCGCGCAGGATCCATGCCAAATCCGAGTCGAGCCCGCATCTGGCCATCGTCGGTCGGACACCACGGAAAAAACAACTTTGGGGACAAGCCAGGCCCCCCCGAAGATGCAACCTAATCCCAGCTTCCCCCTGACCCCCCGCCCAACCCAACCAACGTTTTACTTCCGCCGGCTTCCGCGGAAGTGACCTTCCGCCGGCCTTCCGCCGAGGAAAACCGCCGGCGTCGCCGAAGAAGGACACGCCGCACCTGCGGGCCATCTTTCAAGGGGGGCAAGGGCAGCACGCACTGGCGAGCGACCCTGACAACGACGAGCAACACAAAGAATGGGAGGATGTTATGAGAACGGGGGGAGGACGCGAACGAGGAAAGGCAGGGACAAAGAGAATAGTGCTGCTACGGATCCAGGAGTCTACCGCGAACGGGGCGAACAATAAACGGGCAGACCCCGAGGTCTCCAAGGCCAGAAACTGTCCCATGCATCCGGCGATTTGAATATTCAATGCGCGGCTCCAGGAGAAAGCCCGACCCCTTCCCTGATTGGAATATTTCGCCCTGGACCCATGTTTGATGGCCCCTGGGCCCGACAACGGGCCCCAAGAACAGAAACAAAATGTCATATCGTCGGGAATCTGGGGCCCGAGCACCTCGACCCCCCGACCTCGTCCGTTGACCGGCCGAGAAGGCGTCCTCGGCGGGGGAGGCGCACCGCCCGATGCGCCCAGAACGAGGGGCAACGATACGAGGGACTGCCGAATGCACCCATAATCGGTCCCGAGACAACTCCAGGGGTCCATCCTGGACAGTTTTTTAAGACGGCTTCAGCTGTGTCGACGAGAAGGCTCTGGGAGGCCCGCAGAGGGGCGTCGTTGCCTCGACTGGCCTGCTCCGAAGAGCGAGAACCAGCTGGCAAGCGGCAGCAGGCCTAAGGGGGGAAACGATTCGGTAGGGGGGAAAGCATCGAGCTGGAATCGGCGACACATAGCCGAAGAATCAGCGGTAGGCCCCCGGTAGCAAATCCGCACGCCCCTCTCGGTGTGGGCTATCGGGCCCCGAACGGCGATCATGGGGCGATTGAAAGTCGACGCGTCCCCCAACGTTGTTGTCCCTGCCCCTATGGGCGGAAGATTCCCATTCACCGACATGGTCGCAAGGAATTCCGCCGCGCCAGGCAATTAACATAATCGGAAGCATTACACATATCGGCGGTGGACAAACCTCCCTTTAATAAACCTCCCCTTGGGTGAAAACGGCCTGGGATCGAAACCGACGGACCTGGACCCGCAAAAATGACGGCCGCGACGCCCTCTCGCGAACCGAAAACGGCCAGTTCCTTATCGACGTGTCAGGGTAGGAGGTTTATCCACCTCCGAACGTAGGGAGGCCATGAGAAATAGAATCAACGTTTCCCAACAACCCCGGCGCATTGTCGCCACGATGGGGGTAAACCTACGAAAACCGCTCGCGCACGGCGCACGGGGAGCCCAGGCGACTCCGTCAGACCCAGGAAGCCTCGCGACCCTGTCTACAGGAAGCCCCCAAACCGCCGCCCACGGCGCCCTCGTGGGGCCCGCAGGTAATGATGTTCCAAACGCCCTTTCGCAAGGGGGCTGGTTCCTTCGGGGTCCGATGAGCTTTGACAGACACAATTACTCCCCAGCCGTCCCTCGTTCTGCTCCCCGCGGCCCTGCTGGCCCAAACAAGGTCGCTCCATCCTGCCCGTCCGTTCGCTCGCGCTCCTCCGAATTACCGAGAACGGCAAGGACCGAGAGGCATCCCTCCCTGAGCCTGACCCCCGCCAACATTGACCCTGAGGGTAGCGACGCCGACGGCGGGCGGGGGCGACGAGCCGAGGAGCCGTCAGCGACAGAAGAGCAAGCTTCTGGAGGTCCGCGCGGGTTTCCCAGATCGGCGCTGGGGCCCCTCTCCCCAGCGCGGTGCCAGGAGCAAAGCCAGGGGGATCCAGCGCCGATCCGAGAGATCCGTGCGGACCTCCAGAGGCTACTGCTCATGCAGACGTTCGTGATCCGAGTGCTGCTCCAACACGCCTTGATCCAGGGAGAGAGGCCACAGCGCTGAGCCCAAAGACCGGCGCAGACTTTCGAAAGCTGATGCTCATGAAGATGCTCTTTGTTCGACTGCTGCTCCAATGCGTTTTACTACAGGGAGGGGGGCCAACGCCGACCCACGACCCGGCTGTGCTTGTGTGTTTGTGCCGTTTCCTCTGGGGGAGCGATGGCGTCCTCGGTGGGGAAGCAGTCCGCCCACGTGCCCTCCGCGGGAGTCACGTAGCCCACCAAGTCCCCCGCTCCCTTGGGCCGCCCGTGGCGCGCCATGAGTTCGGCCAAGCTCTCGCGCTCCTTCCGCCAAGGGGCGGGGTCGTTGCCGTCGCCGCCCGTCCTGAGCAGTCGCCGTCGTGTTCGCCGCCGCCGTTTTCATCGCCGTCGTTGTCATCCTCCGCCCTCCGTCCCCTCATCCTCCTGCTATGTCCGGGCGACGCCAAGAACCTGTGATAGGGGGGACAAGGGAGCGGGGGGACGGAGTAGTAGGAGGGAGGGGGGGAGAGAGGATGAAGAGGAAGGGCGATAGGGGGTAGGTAAGTGGGGAGGTGAGGAGGGAAAGGGAAGTGGAGAGGGAAAGGGGAAGGGGGGAAAGGAGGGGGAGAGGAGGGTAGGGCAAGATGGGCGCGCCCGCGCCACATCTGACATTCTACCCCCCATCCCTCCCATTCCTTCACATTGTGCTGAATGTTCTCCTATACACCACTCCAGGTGTCGAATGATGCCTGGGTCCTTGTTTTCTTTGTTGCAGCGCATAGGGACCAGGATGGACCAGGGACCAGGATGGGCCAGGGGGAGGGCGAAGGAGTAGGACTGGAACTGTCACACTGTCAGGTCTACAAGGCCGTCAGCTCGACGAGCTTTCTGGCCAACGTGGGAGAATACAAGATGTGAAGAACTGATCGAAGTAGCCGTGCTCCCAAGCAAAATGATGTCCCCTCCAGCTTGAGAGGGCGGCTGGCATGGGCTTTGAGGTCTTCTCGAAGAGCGGAGGGTCAGGTTCCTTGGGCCACGATCTGGCCTTGGCGGTCTGAGACGGCGGTCTGGATGATCTCGGCCGACTGGGTGGACTCGGCCGACTGCAGCTGCAAGAGAGCGGTGATGTTCTTGAGCCCTGCATTTGCACCTGCCATGACGGAAGCTGGGGTCTGCTTGTAAGAAAAATACGTGAAAGAGAGCGCTGATGGGAGAAGGCCTCTGGGGTCGCCTAGCACTGATGGGAGAAGGCCTCTGGGGTCGCCTGTCAACCAGACTGGGCGTTGCCTCGAGACACCCCCTCGGCAGCGGCTGAGTTCAAAGCGTCAGGGACACACGACTTGAACTTGAGCCAGAATGGCAAAGGACCTGCTGGAGGGGATCGACGATCGAGGATTGGGTGTCAAGGTAAGCTCAAGATGCTTGACGTGTGCTTGGTCCCTTCTCCTGGCTCCTGCAGGATGGGGGCATCCGAAGGCCTCTGCGGACCGCACAGAGACCCTTTAGGAGACACTCGATGAGGCGGCAACTTCTGCACGTGGGAACGTCGTTCCCACGTGCAGAAGTTGCCGCCCGTCGTTCGGGCTGCATAGCCCTTACTCGTCGAGTAAGGGCTATGCAGCCCGATTCAAGAAGCATCCAGCGGGATTAGTCCAGATAGTACTGGATTCAGATCTCTCGGGGCCGATGCTGAACTAACCCTCCCAGGGGTTGCATCCTAATCTGCAGGAGGGCCCTAACACCCCCAAGCGGGAGAAGGTGAGGATCACCAGCAGAAGGACACCGAAGGTAGGAAGAGCGAAGAGCAGCAGAGAGGGGCGCCAGGAGCGAAGAGGGACAAAAGGGAACGGAGCAACGAGGAACCGGAGGAGCGGGGAGGAAGAGGGGGAGCACGAGCTGGGAATGGGGGGAACAGAGAGGAGCGGCAGGGTGAAGGGGAACATAACGAGAGACGAGGAGCCAGAAGGCGTAGAAGGCAAGGAGGATCATGGCGGGGGGGGGGGCGAGGAGAGTAAACAGAGGTGGGATCCCGCCTTCCTCAACGCCCTCCCTCCTCCTGCTTCCCTTCCTCCTCGAGCCCTCCCTCCTCCTCCTCCATTTCCTCCTCTGCCGCCTCCTCGACGTCGCCCGCCCTCCCCCTCAACCTCTTTCTGCTCCTCCTCCTCCTCCTCCTCCTCCTCCTCCTCCTCCTCCTCCTCCTCCTCCTCCTCCTCCTCCTCCCTCCTTTGCTCCCGCTCGTTTTCCCCCTCATCCTCCCCCTCCTCCTCCTCCTCCTCCTTCTCCTCCACCTCCTCCTCCTGCTGCTCTTCATTCGATGATGAGACCGAGGAGGAGGAGGAGGAGGAGGAGGAGGAGGAGGAGGAGGAAGGGGAGCACCGATGACCGATCTGGGCGAGGCCGGGTCTGTCCTTCTCGCGCACCTTTCGCACGACCTGCAGGAGCTCGGCGAAGCTCAGGCCGTCCTCCTTCTCGTCGTCGTAGTCTAGGTTGTTGAGCAGGTCCCACTTGACCTCAGCGCCCCGCGCGCGCGCCAGCAGACCTCCCCTACCGTCCCACTCCGCCTCCGCCTACCTCCCAATCATCCTCATCATTATATCGTCAAGCTATCGTCATCATCGCCATCCTGACCACAACCAGCCAGCATCACAAACCATCGTCATCCCTGCTGTTGTCTCTGCCACTCTCTCCATGTTGCACGTCGCCCTACCGCTCTCTCTCTCTCTCTTCCATGTTGCCGATATCACTTTCTGCCTCCTGTTGCCCCATGTCCCGTGGCCCCAGCACTAGACTAACTGGAAGTCTAGTGTCCACCGAGGCCAGGCGTGTAGGCCGGCAGTGCACGGCCCGCCTTGCAGCGAGGCTGTTCCTTTCCCGCCCACTCAGCCTCACCTCACCCCCCGGTTCCTCTCGTCGCAATCCCATTTTCTCATCCCTCCTCCCTCGTCACTTTTCCTCGTCCTCATTACTCGTTCTTCCTCCCTCCTCCTGCCCCTCCTGCCCCTCCACCCTCTCCGCCACGCCACAACCTTCCTCCTCCGCCTCATCGGCGCAGCGGCCCGACAGCCACCGACGACGACGACGACGACGAAGACGACGACGAAGACGACGTCGACGACGATAATGACGGCGGCGGACACGACAACGACGACGACGACGACAACGACGACGACGACGACGACGACGACGACGACGACGACGACCGCGGGGCAAAAGCCGCTGGCACCCGAGGCGCGCGCGAATTCTTGCTCCGAGAACGGGTACCCCACGTAACTGCATATCCGCCAGCACTCCTGCAGGAAGGGGGTGCAGAGGGAGGGTCATGAGGATGAGTGGGAGGAATGACCCAAATCTGAAAAAATATGATTATGTTTCATCTCAACGTTCATCCTCGAATTCGGCCTCTGGGTCCCGTTCTCCCGGGGTCACCAAACATTCATCCAGTCCAGGGAAGGGGTGGGGGTGTCTGGGGCCGCGCATTGACAACTCACCCTGTCGAAGTACCCAACCCTTGACCAACGAGTGTTCCGATAAAGTGGATAGAATGCTTAGGGGTGGTAGCGTGGCAGTGACTTCCATTTGCCGTGAAAACTACGAGGGAAGCTGCTGCGTGGGAGGCTCACAGTGCAATGAGCTGGACCCCCCAGGGGCACACGAATGTCGCGACAATTTCGCAGTTCGCAGCCCACATGGACGGCGTGGTCCCACTCGGCGATCCTCAAGGCTGGCGAGGCCTAGGATCAATTCCCGTGAGACGTCACAGCGCTGGCTTCCCCTGCAGCCCTCAAACTTGGCGAAAATGCTAGCAGCTCGCATTCTCCCACGGATGGCGAGGTCGAATCTGCATTGTTTAGCAGTTCCATGCCCCCCACAGATGGCGAGGCCGAATCTGCATTCCCGTAAAGCGTCACTCTTCTGCTGCCCCCCCCTTCCCAGCAACCCATCGACAATGACAGCGGTTCCGCACTTCGCATCCCCCTAGTGATGGTGAGGTCGAACATGCATCCCTGTAACACGTCACGGTGCTGCCCCCCATGATGGCATGTTCACAGTTCACATACAGTTGCGCCGTTCGCAACCCCCTAGAGACGGGAAGGTCGAATCGTACGACGTGACTATGCTGGCACCCCACCAGCAGCCCACAAGAATAGTGGAGCGTTCGCAGTTCGCACCCCCGCACTCCAGGGGTGGTGATGTAGAACATGCATCCCGTACAACGTCATTGTGTTGGTCTCAGCACTAACCATCGAAAATGACCACTGGTTCGCAAATTCGCATCCCCCGAAAGGTGGCGAGTTCTATATGATTCCCCGTAATACGTGACTGCGCTGGCCTCTCCCAGCAGACCTCAAAAGAGGCGACACTGTAGTAGTTCGCAGGCCCCAGGGATGGCGAGGTCTAGTCTGAATCCCCATAGGACGTCACTGCCGCCCCACACCCCAGAGCCTTCGACCATTGCAACATGTTCGTAGTTCGCAGGCCCCAAGGACGGCGAGGTCGAACCTGAATCCCCGTAAGACGTCTCTGTGCTGTCCCCTCCCTCCCCCGCAGCCCTCGAGCGTGTCCAAAGTTCCGCAGTTCGCGCAAACCCTCAAAGATGGCGGGGTCTAACCTGAATCCCCGTAGCCCACCCACTCCGCTGAACCTCCCAGCAGCCCTCACAAGTGGCGACACGTTCGCAGTTTGCAGACCCCCAGGGATGGTGAGGTCGAACCTGCATCCCCAGACGTCACTGTGCTGCCCTCCCCCCAGCAGCCCTCGAACACGGCGGCAACTCTACAGTTCGCAACACCCTGGGGACGGTGAGATGTAATCGGAATCCCCGTAAGACGTCACTGTTCCGTCGTCCCCTACAAGCCTCGACGGCAGCCCTTCAGCGTGGCGGCAGTTTCACGGTGCAGCCCCCCGTGGATGCCGAGGCGGGAGAAGGCTAGCAACATGAGGAGGCAGGAGGAGGGGAGGAGGGAGGCGGGACGACGGGAGTGGAGACCACACTGCTCTACTCAGCACCAGAACCGAGCAAATCATCTCGTCGGTTGGCTGGGGAGGATGCGGAGCTGTCGGAAGAAGGGGAGGGGGGGGGGAGGGGAGGGCAGGAGGAAGGGGGGGGGGAGGGCGCACACGCCACATGTGAGCGCACGAGGACGGGAGGCAGGGGGGGGTGGGGAAAGAGTAGGGGCAGGAGGAGGACGGAGGAGGCGACTGGTCGAGCTGTCGGGCAGAGCTCGGAGACACGTCGCATCGGCTAGAGCCGGGTAGCAGATCAAAGATCTAGTGCGGCCTTGCTGCGGTCACTCTGCCTACTCAAAGGGGGGCGCTCGCGCCAGATGACGCGTGGGCCCCGCCTGCACCGACCTTCTCCGCGCAAGGGTCCTGACGGATGCAGAGAGGCACTCGCCCTGACGGATGCTCTCTGGCCTACAGCCGGGCTGAAACCACTGTTGGGCCCCCAGAGCGCTGCGTGCACGAGGAGGGCCAGAGGAACAGCCATGGAAAGACCCACGGACCGTCGAGCCCCCTTCGAACCCAAACTGCTCCTTATTTCAGCGTTCCCAGGCCGGGTCCCCCCTCGCCCGTCCGCGCCCTGTCCCTCGGTTCAAGGATGAGGGGGAGGTCGGCGCGTCACAAACTGTTCGGGAAACTGTGGGCCCTGGGGCTGGAAAATCCCTGGCGCTTGAATGGGAGTGGGGGCAGGGAAACGTCCTGGCTGTATTCGCTCGCGGACCCTCCCCTGGCACATCCAAAGGCGGCCTCTCCCAAGACCTCGATCTCCCCCCTCCATCCTCCTCCTCCTCCTCCTCCGCCGCCTCCTCCCCAAACATCCACTGGACCAACTTGGGGTCATCGGACATCTCTGCCCCTGCCCGCGGCGCGGCCTCTCATCATCCCGCAGGGTCCTCTGCGGATCCCCCGAGGCCCCCGGATGGCGCCCCTGCTGGTGGGACCGAGCTGCTGGCGCAGGACGAGACGGGGGAGGGCCGAAGACCCCTTCGGGGCGTCGTAAACGGGGTTTAGGCTTTTCCACCTGCCCCCCTTTACTGTACCCCCGTCTACGGCGCCCAGGGCCCCCTAAACGAAGGCATAGCCAAACGTGGAACTCGGCGTTCCCCCTGCCCCCGTTTGCTGTGCCCCCGTCTCTGGGGGCCGCCGGGGCCTCGCCATGGAGGGCTGGCGGCGGCTGGTCGCTGTCGCGCGGCCGGGCTTTGCTGGCCACGGCGAGCCTCGGCCACGGCCCGAAGACTGGAGCCCCTCCCGGGCCCTGGGTCAGGGGGGCGTAAGACCCGGGTACAGGGGACTCGGAAATCCCCGACGAGGTCGTCAAAAAAATGACGAGGCCGAGCCTGCATTTTGACGAGGCCTCCCGCTGCAGACATCCCACGAAACTCCTACTCGTCAAAATCCGAGTCGCGGTCGTCAAAAAACGATGGCGAACCCGAGTCCTGGCAAACCCGGGTCTTACGTATTTTGGCATCCTGGCTGTGGGCCGACTTTAGGGGCTCCCGGCTGAATGTGGCGGGAAAGGGGCGACGTCGTGTCACCGTCGGCGTTGACCCTTGGGGATCCCAATGCCTAGACACTGAAATCCGACATCGACGGGACATCATGGGAAATCACTACGGGATCCCTGTAGGCCCCCTGTGCGCGGCATCTCTCGAGCTTGATCGATCTGCGAGAGCCCCCGAGCCCAGGACCGGGCGTACTTTGCATGCTGTCAAAAAAATGCGACGCGAGGACCTCAGAATGCGTAGACGGGTGAAAGCAGAATCCCTAGAAGAATTCAAACCTGCACTAAGATGAACCTTCATGGGTCCGAGTGGATGTCGTAGCTCGGCGCTGGGCCACCCCTGTTCTGGCGGCCAGAGCATTCTAGAGGCGGCGCCAGATGCGCGACTTGGGGGGGCACGCCGAAGCCCCCTGTTGCCAGTCCCAAAGCGGTGCGGCGGCAAACCATGCGGTGACGCCGAAATCCTAGCAGATCTCACAGACAGGCTCGTCGCCGCACGGGTTTGGGGACTCGGAGGCCAAATGTCAACCCAAGTCCTAACGCCGTGCGGCCACCCCCGAAATCCAACTGCTAGGTGTTGTTGGAATTACACCTGGCCCGACGTGTCCCCAGCTTTTCGGCCAATTTTGAAGACCCTGTGGACAACTGGGCCTCGTGAGGGGCACTCTGGAGGCCATCTGGGCCTCCCTGGAAACCCTGAGGACACCTTGGGCCGGGGTCACCCTTGGCAACACCCGAAAAAGGCTTACCCTACGGTGTGGTCGCCGAACCGCTTCGGGACTTCTGAGAAGGCCTCCCGACTGGGCGGGCGGCCAGTGGCTGGGCGATGCTGAATGGAGGGCGATAGTTAGATGGGGGGAGAAACGTGTACCGTTTATATCCTTGGGCCCCATAGGGGTTCCCTTTAGGACCCTAATGTGCACGACAGGTGCACCTATCTTCACCTCCAACCCAACGTTAAGACTAAGCTAGGACGAGGATAAAATCGGGTGAGGATAGATCGAGACTAGAATGTCTGAGGTCTGGCGGCTCTGAGGGGTGTCTCGGAAACCGCGGCACTCTCAGAGCCTTCTGGGCCGCTCTGAGAGCGTTCTGGAACGCTCTGGAACGGATTGATCCTCGTCCCAGCCCCGTCCGAAACTTATCGCTGTCTCATTACGCCACGCCCGAAGTGGGCCTTCTCCATGAGGTCCGGGTCCACAAGCCCTGGGATCACCTTGTCGTGCAGCTCCTTCAGCTCCTGGCGCGGGCCCTCCGTCTGTTCCTCTCGGCCTCCTGCCTCCTCGCCTGGGCGCCCTCCCTGGGGGAGCCTCCTCCTCTTGACGTTACTCGGACATATATCGAGTGATCGCTGCGTCTGTGGCGTGAGAAATGACAAAGATGGCCGACTGAGGCCTGTAAGCAAACGCATTGCGCCTGGCGGGCGCGGCAGAGAACGGATGGGCACGAGGGAGACTCCTCCTCCTCTTCCTCCTTCTCCTCCTCCTCCTCCAAAGTTGCACACATGAGTACGACATCTCTTCCCTGACCATGTCCTTGAAGTGTCCCAGCCTCTGCAGACAGGATACCAAGCGTTGGTGTCGTATACTTGTTGTGGTCGGAACGCTCTGGTGTCTCGAAAGGGTGTTCCCGCTACAGCTTGGGTCTGATTTCAAGATCAACGCTTTGCTCCCGTCGTTCAGACCGGCGGGCCACACTCTTGAATCCGAATGATTCCTCGTCGTTGTCGCGACATCCTTTTTCGTTTCATACGCCTTCACCTGGTCCGCCTGCTCCTGCGGCTGCGCCTGCGCGTGCTGCAAATGTTCCTCCTCGTCCTCCTCCTTCCTCATCCTCCTCTTTCTCCTGCTCATCCGATTGAACATAACATGATGAGGTCCTGTTGGGGGCTCCAGGTCCGCTACGACTCCCGTCAGCGGATACAACATATCGGTGTAATGGGAAAGGATGGATGGGAGGAGCAGGACGTCAGATATGGCTCGAGCTTACCTAGCGTGTCCTTCACCTCTCTTTCTCCTCATTCGGTTCATCCTCCTCTCCCTCGTCCTCGCCCTCCTCCTCCTTCTCCTCCTCCTCCTCCTCCCCGAGGGGAGGGGGTAGCAGAAGTAGCAGCTGTGTGCACCAGGGTGCGTCGCCTGCAGCCTCTCAAAAGTATCTGGCAGCCGCATAGGGACTGCGCGGCGTGCGCGACAGCGTTCGCGTGGCACGCCTCTGACATGAGAGCGGGCGGTCCCTTGGAGGGAGAAGACAAATGCAGAGATCTGCGCGTTGCATTGTTCCACGCTGTGGGTGCTCGCTCGGTCTCGGGCCACAAGGCGTTCGCCGATTGACCGGGCTCGAGAAATGCTGCAGAACGGTTGGGTCTAGCAACTCATCACCGCGATGCCATGATGTCGCGACGACAGTTCTCAGAGGAGGAATCAGGGAGACAGAAGGGAGGGAGGAATAATGAGGGAAGGCGTGTGTCGGAGCAGCGCGAGCTGAGACAACGGCAACTCAAAATCTGTCCCCCCCACCCCGTCTCGGAGGCCAAACGCACCACATGTTCGATCGGCGTTCATCTGTGGCGACGAGGGCCCCCCCCGAAGGCCAACTACTACCGTTATCTCAACGCGCCCTTCTCTGAGTGGGGGGCGGGGAGGGAACGGGATGGAGGGATGAGGAAAACGGAGCTCCTGTCCTGACGGCCTCCTCCCTTGTATCCCTCCTCCAAAAGATGTGCGCTACGCTCTTCATAATCCGTGGCGCAAAAAACAAACCAAGCAGCCAGACGTTGTCGAAGTGTCTGTTCACCATTCGATCTGCTGATAGCTGGAGTGGTCCGTATATAACCTATCATTCTGTTTTGCGGAGATAAATGGGGGCCGACACCTCCAAGCAACGATCACGATGAGGCCAGGGTGCAACTACAATGCGATCGGCAAGAGGTGAAACGCACAAGGCACAAAGAACACCTAACACTGGTTGCGAGCTCAGTGTTCGCGCTGTGACAGGTAAAACAGCTCTGCGTATCCAAGCAGCTCAAAGAAGGAAGTCAGGCAACCGCCAAGCCCGTGGCGCGAGAGAAGAGACCCACACAGCGCGAGGACAGGCTTTGTTGTGGACGTGGATTAGAGTCAGGCGCGAACTCCCAGGTAGTCGCGCAGCGACGAAGTTGACCGACGAGGGCCCGAAACGCAGCGAGGGCCAGAGCAGACACGAGTGGCGGATGGACCGACCTAACAGAACCGAGGCCCGACAACACGCATGGACACTAAACAAGAACAAGCTGCTTCCAACTCAAGGTAGTGCAACGACTATGTCTGATCCTCATAGGCAAAGGCAAGGCCCAGAACACCTGTAGCACAATGGAATACAAGCACACTGCAGGAGTCGCGTTATTCCTTTGTTTCCTGGCCTTCTCCCCTCTCCCCTTTTTGCCTCCTCCTCCTCCTCCTTCTACTCCTCCTCCTCCTCCTCATCCTCCTCCGTCACCCGCGCGGCGAATGCTCGCGCGGGGCGCCCGCTGGTACGCTAGCGTGCAGCGCGGGCATGTGATTGCTAGATCGAGCTGCGGCCCCACAAGGAGGCAACTAGAGTTGCGCGGTGATGCAGCCGGGCTGACAGTGCAGCTGGCCGCCGTGCTATTTTTTTGTGATCGGTCGCGATGCTGTGCTGCTCCAGGAACTACATGAACGTGCATGGTCATGGGCGATTGGCGGATGGTATAAGCCGCAGAAAGAAGAAGAAGAAGAAAGGAGGAGGAGGAGGAGGAGGAGGAGGAAAAGAACAAAGGGAGGAGGAACGGCGAAGAAGGCCAAGGAGCCCAGGGCGAAGAGGACAGCCAGCTGTTTGGGGCAGCCCAGCCGTTTAGGGCAGCCCAGCTGCGTGGGGCAGCAGAATGTGTCCAAATGGGATGGGGTATGGTCCAGGCACTCTGGGCTTGGTGTATTCGCCACAGGTACTGTAGAGCCATGGATCGCATAATTTATAATGATGGCCTTTGCTTGTTCTGTTAAAGAGCCTCCAGTCCAAGGAACAGTTCGAGCATCGGCTGTCCTCCGCAGTGGGGTTCCAGGATACTGCCTCGGCTCGGCAATGACTGTCTCCCGTTCGGTCCCTTCCACCCTGCCTGCCACCTGCCGACACGCCATCTTGCCGCGAAATTCTGCTGTGACGAGATGCCCAGGCACGAGAACCTACCGTTGAGACGTCGACTCCAGCTCCGGCTCCTGACATGAGGGGGGCCGACAGGAGGGAGCCCTGCTCAGAGGGCGTGAGGAGAAACATCGAGCTGGGGCGATACAACGCCGATAGATGGGTGATAGGCCCCCGATAACGAAACCGCAAGATCCCAGGCGGGGCGGAGCCCCCATCGGCGATGCACAGGCGATTTGGGGGTCTAAGCATTCATCCCTGAGCCCATCCCCCCCACTTAATTACGTTGCCCCCGATGCACCGCGCGAACCGATCAATCTTATTGTGAGCCCTCCGAAACAACAAGCAGCGGCGGTGCAGGGTGACCACTGAGCAGCGGGACCTGGGACAGTCGAGGGCGGAGTCGAGCGGAGAAGGATGGCAGCAACGGAGGGCAGACGTTCCCAGAAGCTGGTGAGCATCGTCTGTCCGACCCCACTGGCCGATTTGAACCCCCAGCACGGGAACGTAGGCTGTTCTCTGTGGGTTTCGGGGGCTCATCCCCAACAGTTGGGATGGTGGGGCTGGGATACCATGGCCCAGTGGGGGTGGAGATGGGTTAACAGAATAAGAGAAAACATACAATGAAACTTTTGGCGCTCCACGCGGGTTTCTTGGTTTCTTGGATCCACGCTGGACCCCCCTCCCTGGCGCGCGGAGCGCGCCGGGGGCGGCACCGGAGTCGCCGCCGAGGGGGCCCAGCGCGGATCCAAGGAACCCGCGCGGAGCGCCAAACAACTTTATGTGTCTGACGTCCTTGTTTCGTCGCCGAATTGAGCGACGTGCCGGCACACTCTTGCCGTGCTCCGCCAGGCCCGGGGGCCCGACGCAGGGCGCACAGAGGGGGCGCTCGGCCATGCACGCCCGTGCCGGCGGCCCGCCGCCGAGACGGCGCGCACCTGCGGCAGGCCTCTGGAGGTCCGAAGGGAGGGGTCCAGGAGGCCAGGGCGAGTACCCAAAGGCAGGACCAAGACATGCATTCCAAGCAATCGATCCTTGGGACCTCGATCACCGCTCCTAGGCCCTCGAGCCTCGGCGAGGCCGCCTGCGATCCAGTTTGATTCGCCAACTGGGGCCGCGATTCCGATTCGATTCGGCTCGATTCGCCGGCATCGACCTGGGACAGCCGGAGCCAGGGGCCGCCGATCGATCCCATTCGGGACAACTCGCTTGGCGATCCGATCCGTTCCCGATCCGATTTAGCAATTCGATCCAGCTCAGGCCTGGGAAGCGGCTGGGGGGTCTGCGCTGGATGGGCGCTGAGAACATCTGTTAAGAGGGGGGAGAGGACTAAGCAGGCCAGCCACTATGAAGGTGCATGTGCGTTTCACATACCGTTTGCACTGCAGCCGATGTGTTGTCATGGCACGGCTTCTTCGTTCGCTCGTTCGAGCCGCGTCCAGCCGTGGCGACGAGGGCCCCCTGTCTACTCCACGCTCTCACTGTCCAGAAATACAAAAGCACAGAACTGTATGAACATAAACGTTCGAAACTCCGCGCGGATTTCTGGGATTCCTTGCAAAATGGACCCCTGCCGGGCCACCCGAGCCCGCCAGCCGACTCCAGCTCAGGCCCGCCTCGGTCCTGGAGCCTCGCGCCCCCCCCGCCCCCGAAACCGCAGCGGCGCCTGGCACTCGGCCCTCGTCATCCCTTCGGTCTGGCGCAGGAAGTCCCTGAGAAAGGCGCACACGCGCGCGCGGGCGGTGGGGACGTGGACAGGAACGTGTGAAGGGCAGCCAACGTCAGTGGGGATCAGCTCAGGGGGGGCATCCCACCAAGCGCGAATCGGTGATTCATCGCCGATGCATCGACGATAGGTCCCCGATGGCGAATCAGAACGGTCCTGGGCAGGGGCGGACTATCGGGCCCCTATCGGCGATGAGTGGGCGATTGGGGGGTCAATGCGTCCCCCCTAGCCTCTCCAGCCTAACGCTGCCCATGAACGAGGGGAGGTGGAGGAGGACGCAGAGGGGCGGAATGCAAGCTAGATGCGCTCGCGCCATATATCTAACATCCTACACCTCCGACCCAACCCTTCCCATTGCAATGATATGTTTATCGATCCGCCGATGGGTACCATAGCGGACGTGCAACCCCCAGAATGAGCCCATCGTGTTGTGCGCAATTGGGAAAGGGTACCTGTGCACATCCGAGGAGGAGGTGGCGGATGAGCAAGAGGATGAGCAGGAGGAATGCGATGAAGGATGAGAACGGGGGGGGGAGGTGACAGAGGTGCGGAAGAGGTTACTCCAGGAAGGTCTTCGCCAGAACGAGTTAGGGCTAGCCAGCCCGATGACCGATCAAGGGTCAATTGAGCCGTACTGAACAGTCCAAATCAAGCCCAGGACCAAGCAAGATTGAGATTGAGCTGGGTCGTTCAGTGGGATTAAACTGGATGAGGCCCTTGCTCGACAACGGTGCGACAGCGTCCCTCAGAGAGACACGACGACGAGCATTAGAAGCAAAGAGGGGGAGGAGGCGGTGACGGCAACAAGTTTAGAAGGGGAGAGAATGAGAAAGAATAATCCGACCTGGGCGACGAGAACGATCAGCAGGTGAAGGGCGAAAGTATGGGGGTACGTAAGGATTTCGGAGGGTGGAGGGGAGGATAAACAAGGGAGTCTGAGATCGGTGGCTCTGACCGAGGTCTGGTGTCTTCCCTTCCATTCCCGATCTGCTGCCCATCCTCCTCCTTCGACTCCTCCAACTCCTTCTCGTCGTCCCCCTGCTCATCCAAAAGTTCGTCTAGTCATCCTGCTCATCCTGCTCGTCCTCGTCCTCGTCATGTTCATTATGGGGAACATGTTCCTCATCCGTTCCGTCCCAATCCTCCTCGCGCTCCTCCTTGTCCTCTTCTCCAATGGTCCACTCCCTCGATCGACAAGTGTGATTCTGGTCTTGTTCGCTCCCCTGGGCCCACGAGGTTGACAAATAAACGCAAGCAACCACCTGTTGCATCTCGCACGGTAAAGGACGCCACAAACAGGGTGGGAAACAAATTCGACACAGAGTCCGTGAAGACATGCAGCCAACATACTGCTGCCAGAAACTGTCACACAATGAGTGAAACCAAATCCCTACCGATCTGTTTAACACGTTTGTATGTATCAATACGCGGCCCAAAGAGATCTCGAACCTTTCCCATGGACCAAGTCATCGTCTCTGATCTTTTCATGGCCCGAGTCCGAACAGAGCGCTCACCCGATGCCGCAAAAATACGAAACAACCTCCGCCTTCGTTTTCCTATGACAATTTGGAGGTATGCGCATCGCCCATCAAAATCAAATCGAGGACTCCTCCAGGGAAGCGTCTGATTACCAGTCTCGAGGGGGATCCAGCCGTGGCAGGCTCAAGTAAGAATGCGCCCTGCAACCTCAAACAACGAACCTCCCCCCTCCGTACCCGACGAGCTCGCCATCCGTTCAGGAAAGGAACAAAAACAAATACTCAACAACACTAACATCAGCAACAATCACTTCAGGACTATTCGCCCTTCAACCCTTCGATGCTCGCGTGTCGCTCAAACTGTATACTCCCAAACTCTCGATACCCGCCCTCTTCGACTTCACTCTTACCCGCTTTGGAAGTATATCTGCCTCGTCTCCCACGTGTAGTTGGCGCGGCCTCAAAAGCAGGAGGAGGAACAGAGAAAGGGAGGGGGCGAGGAAAGGAGGCGGCACCGAAAGCGGAGGTGGGCAAGAGGAACGAAAGAGGATTGAGGGCGAAGGAGATTTAGCAGAAAACGGAAATGGGAACAAACAGACGGTGACAAGCGGGCCGGCCCGACTGGGCGGGTCGGGCGGCCGGGCCCTGACAGCCGTGTCGGGCGGGCGGGGCATCGAAGCGGGCGGGCGGGCTTACAAAATCGCGAAGGGCCAGACCCTGACGCGCAGGATGGGCGGGAGGACCTTGCCTTGCGGCCAGGCGGGCGGGCCCTAAAGGGCGGGGCTGGCGGGCGGACCCTGACGGGTGGGTCGAGTCGGACAGTGAAGCGGGCGGACTTCCAATCAGGTGAGCGGGCGGACCCTGACGTTCGGGCCCAGCGGGCGGACCCTAACGGGCGGGTCGGGCGGGCGGGGCCCTAACGGGCGGGTCTGGCGGGCGGGGCATTAAAACGAATTTCTGAATTGCGAAAGGGCCTCAGGTGAAAGCACGAGTCCCAAGCACATTGCGAGCAAGTCCTGCGCGAGGGAGCGATTCCTGGACGTCGAGAGCGCGACGACGCAGTACATTGCAAGGAGGTTCTAGGCGAGAACACATGTCCTGATCATCCTCATGAACCTCATCATGTATCACGGCGGGACTTGCCGTAGGCAACTGGATTACGGGACGTCGTAGGTATACGATACGGCTACGGGTCAAAGCGGCCCGGGCTCAGAGTGCGCAGCACGCTGAGCTGACCGCTGCGGCCCAAGCGGTCAGCCTGGTAGGGTCGCCAGTCGAGGCAGTCACGGACCCCCGCTTCGCCCGCAATCGTGATGGATGCTATGACAATGGACACTCGAACAGTCCTATAATTGGGTTGTTGATGTGTCTTCAATGTATAAATGCTGCTCCAGACCTCAACTCTGGATATGTGAAACAATGTTTTGAGCATGTGCCATCGAATTTGAGCAACGACCCATACGCGTGGGCCGCCCCGCGCTTGGGGAACTCCCATGGGACAGCCTGACGGATCGATCCTATGGTAAGTCCGATGGGGAAGTCCTACTGATGGGTCCCATGGGGAAGTCCTGCGGGGGGGTCCTACGAAGGAGTCCTATGAGAGAATCCTACACGGGGGGGGCCGGTGGGGGAGTCTAAGTCCGATGGGAGAGTCCTACGGGGGAGCCTCATGGGGAAATCTTCTGCGGGAGTGCCATGTGGGAGTCCTATGGGGAAGTCCTATGGTGAGGTCCTGTGGGGGAGTCCCATGGGGTAGTCTTGTGGGGGAGTCGAATGGGGAAGGACTCCCTCTGGGAAAGTCCTCTGGGGGACTCTATGAGAGAGTCCTAAGGGGGAGTCCGATTTGGGAGGGGGGGACGCGGACGCAGGAGGAAGAACAACGAAACTCTGAGGGCCTCCTGAGGTCCCAGGTAGGTCCCGTGGGACAAAATGCTGGAAACAACTTATGAAGTTCGGGACGACGTCAGTCTGTGGGGTGGGTGGGTCTCTGGAGGCCACAAGCCCACAGAAGGGCTAACGCACCCCGAATGAGACCGATCCATCACTTGCCCCCTCCTCCCCCGCCTGGATACCTAACGCCCACAGACGCCTCGCTCCTGCTGCTGCTGCTGCTGCTGCTCCTCCTCCTCCTCCTCCTCCTCCTCCTCCTCCGCCTCCCCCCCTTCTCCAAATATCCCTCCCCGTCCTCCTTGAGGATGGCGATCCTTTCGCCGCTGGAAGTCTGCGTCCTCCTCTTCCACCCTTCAGGCCTGAGGCCCTGGAACTCTTCGAAGCTAAGCCGCTCGTCCAGGTTCCTGTCCAACTCCTTCAGGGCCTCCATGGTGGCCATCGTGGTGGGGGAGAAACCCATCCTGGGGGCGGGGGAACGCGAGGATGGGAGGACGCCGTCAGCACACCAACAACTGCGCTGCCTATCCTCTATCCTCCCGCCTCCTCCTTCCACCTCCTCCTCCTCCTCCTCCTCCTCCTCCTCCTCCTCCTCCTCCTCCTCTTCCGCAAGGGTGAGCATGAGACGAGGAAGAGGCGGCGAGGATGAGACGATTGGGGCGTCAGGAGGAGCTGGAGAAGAAAGGCGCAGGGAATGAGGAGGACGTACAGAGGCTCCTGGAGGTCTCGGGGGAGTCCAGAGGCCGCGGGATGAAGACCCCTCCTGCACCGTCGAAAGCTTGCCTTGCCGAACCGCCTCTCCTGACGTGTTCCTGGCCCTTGGCGGCTGCTGCTGCGGCCCTTGGCTGCTGCTGCTGGATTGGTCCGCCATCGCGCCTGCAGCGATTGGTGTCGGAGCTCTACTTGTGTCGTGGGTTTCGCTTCTTGCGAGGCATTCTTGAGCACCCCGGACGCATCTAACCTAACACGGGCGTACTTGCAAGCCGCGTGCCTGCGTTTCGTATTCCTGCTGACGAGGGAAATGTCGACAACACGTGCTGGGTAACAGTTTCCATGGGACGTACAGCCATAGAGGCCCCTTACAAGCCCCCATGAACGCCCCCCAAGAAGCCCTCAGAGGTCCCAAAGAGGCCCCCAAAGACCCAAAGGGGCTCTGCCGGGAAGCCCCCAGGAGGCCCCAAGAGACGCAAGAGGTCTCCTCTTTCTCCTCCCTCTCTTCCTTTTCTCTCTCCCTTCCCTCAGTGTTCCCCCCTAGGTTTCCCACCACGGCTTGGGGAGCGCATCTTCCAATAGCTGTGCCAAATGTTGGTGAAACGTTTGGCCACAGCGGTAATTCCAGAGAGGAAGGGAGGCGGCGGAACCGCGGAAATTCGCCGCAGGCGTCTTCGATTCACTGCCCCCTATTGCTTGCGAAAGGCGTTGTTGGCGTACCGCATGTTACTGTTTGAATCCTTCGAAAAAGTTCCCAGTGGCCTCCAGCCCCTCAACGGCCCACCAGAAGATATGCATCCCGTATCCTACTTGCTTTTCAACCCAAGATGGTCTCTCGACGCTTCCTAAAGGCTGAGATGGCCTCCACGACGGCCCAGGATGACCTCCAAGAAAGCCAAGATGGCTAAACATTGGCCCAAGACGTCCCAGGATTGCTCCAAGAAGGCGCAGAAGAGGCTCCCTAAGATTACGGCTGGGAGAACACACAGTATAGCTTGGCCAGCCGTAGGGCTCAGTGTTCGGCCACAGAGGCGTTTCCAAAAGGCAGGAGACGGCGGCGGTTCGCCATATTCGGGGATGGACAGACCCCCCTTTAGTAAAACGTGGTTTAGTGAAAACGACCTGAGGCCCAATCCTGGCGGGCGCAAACCTGGAAAATAACGACCACGGCGCCCTCTCGAGAACCGAAAACGGACAATTCACTAATCGACGTGTCACTGTTGGGGGTTCTGTCCAGCCCCGACATATGTGCATTCGATCTGCAGACCCTCTTCAAGTGGCCTCCGGGTCAACCAGTTGGGTCGCAGACAGTGCTTAAGATTCGCCCTCGGGCGCCCAAAATGGCCCCCAAGATGGTTCACGCATGAGTATCCGAAGGGTGTCGGCAATGGTTCGCTGGAGGCATCTTCGATAATCGCACTATCTCTCTAGGCAACGGTGGTTTGACGCGGTTCCTCTTGAACCCCCTTCTTCTGGGAGGGGTTCATCACTGCTCCTGGTAATATACGCCCCCTCCCCCACCCACCCTGCGGCAAACCCGAAACCCTGACCCCCCAAACCATCCCCGTCAAAAGGCAATATTCAGTGCAAGCTGCTGCTAAATCTGGATCCTATGCAAGGCCCCCGCGATCACCTTGCACTGCGTTTTATGACAGAGCCGAGGATGCCGGCAGCTTGTTCCACCTGTGCAGGTCCGCCGTCCCTCCTGTGGCGAAGGTCCCAACCATATGCAGTTGTAGGTACCGTGATTGTGAATATCTGCTGCGGTGAAGCTCCCTATGGGGCAACGAAGCGCTGCACTGGACGGGGGGGAACGCTGTACTGTGTGGGTGGTGTGCCGAATTGGGTTTCCGGGACGCGTGCGGACGGTCCCACTGAGGGCTTCGGTGGAGCTCCGTATGGGGCCACGACGCGCTCTACTGAGTGAGTGAAAATGCCAAATTGGGTTTCCGGGACGCATGCTGACGGTCCCACTGGGGGCTTCGGTGGAGCCCCCTATGGGGCCACGAAACGCTGCAGTGCGCGGGTGAAAATGCCAAATTACATCTCCTGGACGCATGCGGACGGTGGCACTGGGGCCTTGGGTGGACCCCCTATGGGGCCACGAAACGCTGCGCTGGGTGGGTGAAAATGCCAAATTGGGCTTCCGGGACACATGCGGACGGGGGCACTGGGGCCTTCGGTGGAGCTCCCTATGGGGCCACGGAGCGCTGCACTGGGTGTGCGGGACGCATGCGGACGGTAGCACTCGGACCTTCGATGGAGCTCCCTATGGGGCCACGAAACGCTGTACTGGGCGTGCGGGACGCATGCGGACGGTAGCACTGGACCTTCGGTGGGGCTCCCTATGGGGCCACGAAACGCTGTACTGGGTGGGTGAAACGCAGGGAGGAGGGGGAGGAGGGCCACGAAACGCTGTACTGGGTGTGCGGGACGCATGCGGACGGTAGTCATGGGACCTTCGGTGGAGCTCCCCCATAAACGCTGCACTGGGTTTGCGGGACGCATGCGGACGGTAGCACTGGGACCTTCGGTGGGGCTCCCTATGGCGCCACGAAGCGCTGTACTGGGTGTGCGGGACGCATGCGGACGGTAGCACTGGGACCTTCGGTGGGGCCCCCTATGGGGCCACGAAACGCTGTACTGGGTGGGTGAAACGCAGGGAGGAGGGGGAGGAGGGCCACGAAACGCTGTACTGGGTGTGCGGGACGCATGCGGACGGTAGCACTGTGACAGTAGGTGGAGCTCCCTATGGGGCCACGAAGCGCTGTACTGAGTGTGCGGGACGCATGCGGACGGTAGACTCGGACCTTCTGTGGAGCCCCCTATGGGGCCACGAAGCGCTGTACTTGGTGGGTGAAACGCAAGGAGGAGGGGGAGGAGGGCCACGAAACGCTGTACTGGGTGTGCGGGACGCATGCGGACGGTAGCACTGGGACCGTAGGTGGGGCTCCCTATGGGGCCGCGAAACGTGTGAGGGGTATGCTGAAACGGATGATGAAACGGGTGATGATGATGATGATGATGATGATGATGATGATGATGATGCTGCTGCTGCTGCTGCTGCTGCTGATGCTGATGATGATGATGATGATGATGATTATGGTGCTGGAGGAGGGAGGAGGGGGAGGAGGAGGAAGCGGAGGAGAACGCGGGGTCGTTATTTCAAAACGAAGACCCAACACCACAAGATGGTTAGGAACAAATGCGAAGTGCACGTTGCCGGCAAAGCTTGGAAAAGAGGCGCCCCGTGATCATTTTGCATTGATGCTGGGCAAGGATGAAATGGGGGTGCCCTAGCACGCGCGGCGCACCTTGCCGTCGTCGCGCGCCTGGTTGGCGCCTGCATTGGTTTCCAACGGCAACCGATGTCGGCCCCTGCTTATGCTGAGACTCGGGTTCTACTTGTGTGATCGGAGGGCAGGTGAGTGACCGAAACGGCCGCCCTTCGGGGGGGTGGAAGCTTGACCCCTTCCCCTGCACCATCCCGCCGTGTCTGAACAGGGGGGGTCGCGCCCCTTTGGAGCAACCAAGATGGCCCACTATGACTCCAAGAGGCCCCCAAAGAGCCCAAGGTGGCCTCCAAGATGGAACATATTGGGAGTTCGCTGAACATGGCAGTATCCAGCATACCTCAAGCAATCCCAAGACCGCTCCAAGACGGGTCCAAGTGAAGTTGCCTCGGAGCCTCCCAAGAAGGCCCCCAAGATGCCAAAATCCTTCCAACACCAATCGGAATACCTTGCGTGCTTTGCCTTGTCGTTGTTCGCTTCCAATTAGCTGTCGGGGCCTCGAGATGGCTCCAAGAGGGCTTAAGGGAGCCCCGAGAGAGGCATACGAGGGTCCCAAGATGACCCCTAATAGCGAATCAAGAAGATTCCGACTGGCAACGTTGGAGCTCCAAACGGGCAAACATGATCGAAACAACACGTGCGTCGTATTGCATGGTCGCTGTCAATGGGCTTTCAAGGCCATACGATTGCTCAAGCATGCCCCCAGATGGCTGCAAAAAAGGCCAAGGCAGCCCCAAGACAGCTCGACGAGCGCTCAACAACGCCCCAAGAGACTATTGTGGGGGCTCCAGTGGAACGGAGCTCGAGGACATCCTTCTTTGATCAATGTCCTCCAAGATGGCCCCAAAAGGGCCTCGAAGACTCCCTCGAAGGCCACAAGACGCCCAAAAAAGAGCTCCAGAAGCCCTCCAAACGGCCTAAGAGTCAAAGAGGACCTCAGGATGGATCCAAGAGGCTCCTAGAGCAAATATTCCAGATACATTCGGGTTTAAATCGTCGTCGTCGTCGTCGTCACCCTGGCCGTCTCCCTCCACCTCCTCCTCATCCTCCTCTTCCTCATGCTCGTCCTCCAACCTCCCCCTCTTCCGTTCCTCCCTCTCCTCATTCCTCCCCTGCTCCTCCCAACCAGGATTAATCAGAAATTGAATGAGAATAGGTTCAATGAAACAAATCATGTTTCTGCTCGCCTTCCTCCTCCTCCTCCTCCTCCTCCTATTCACCCCCCTCTTCCACCATATGTTCTCCTCATCCTCTCCTCCTCCCGAATCCTTGTCCTTCTCCTCCGCCATTCCTCGGCCGACGGGTCCGCGAAGGCACATGTGGTTCACTGCTGGGCCTGCTCAGGCCGATTCAGCACTTCGGTTTGACGGCAACTCTTTGTTCCACTGTATGGGCCCCAACTCCCCTGATCAAGGCGATTCGCACGGGCATCATTGCTGTATGGGCTGGTGGGTATACGCGAGGCGTCATTACTTTCGGTCGTGCTCCTGTGCCGCAGTTTGGAAGCGCACGCGGTATCTCGCTCTGGCTGCGGCAACCGCCATGGGCGAAACTGTCCCAAAGTGTGCTGGGCTGCTTTCAGCCGTGGCCGCGAGGGCGCCCCAAGAAACCAGAACATGATACATCCAATAACCTCGGTCGCCGACCTGGGCTTTCTAAAGTTCGAGGTCCATGAACGACCCCAACGGCCCCCAAAGGGCAAACACCACCCAAAAAACTCAAAACAACAATTTCGATCTTGCTCCCCCCTTCTGAGGGGCAACCTCCAGGGGAGACCAGCTCGGGGGGGGGACACATCGAGCTTGCATCGGCGATGCATCGCCGATGGATCGGCGAAAGGCCCCGGTAGCGAATCCGCACGCTCCTCGGCGGGGCGGGCAACTGGGCTGCTATCGGAGATGAATGGGCGATCGGGAGCAGTGCATCCTCTCCTAGGCCTACCCCCTCCTAACGTTGCCCCGTTGCTTCTGGGTCATAACTCGTCTATTCTGGCGGCCGTTCGGGAAAGTTCGGGCCCCCCCGAACGCCCTTGACGAGGCCTCGAAAACGTTCGAAATCTTCCGACAACGATCGACCAGCCCCCTGGAGCCTATCCCCCCTATCTTGAGCAGGGACCGACCGTCCTGGGATTAGTAGAGGCCTACAATGAAATGTCCTTAGATCCCAAAAATGTTCAAAAAACAAAATAATGTTCTTAGAACATAGACCCGATGTGTTAAAACAAAACAGTCCCAGCCAGAAATGTTCTAAGAACATCTCGTTGAAAACACAAAAGGTTCTTAAAACATTCGTTGGTGGGCCTGTGGGCGATCCAGGACACCTCGCCACTGCTAGACTAACATTGCCCCTGACCTTCTCCTCTCCTCCAGCGGGCGAAGGGCTGGCTGACGGGAGGCTGGCCCCCTGCCTCTGCAACAGCGAATGCAGCTCGCGGAAGTCCAGGTGACCGTCCTCGACGCAGGGGCGTCGACGTTGTCACCGCCGCCGCCGCCTCCTCTGTCGTCGTCGTCGTTGTCGTCGTCGTCGGCGTCGGCGTCGTCGTCTCCATCGTCGCCGCTGCCGCAGCCGCCGCCAACGTCGTGGTCGTGGTCGTGGTCGTGGTCGTGGTGATCGTGATCGTCGTTGCCGCGCCCGTCGCACTCGTCGTCGCCGTCGTCATCGTCGTCGTCGACATGGTCGTCGTCGCCGTCGTCGCCGTCGTCGTCGTCGACCCCCCCCGATGTGTCGTCTCTGCCGTTTGTGTCGCTGTCGTCGCCATCGGTGCCGTGTCCGTCGTCGCCACCGGTCCGTCCATCGGCAGACGCCCACACCTCTGGGCGCTGCGGAATCGAACAAACATTGCTGGGCGAAAAACCCAACCCAAAACAGCGGCGAGTTTCGCGTGATACGTCTCATTCCTCATAGCAGCGCACCGCTTAACCCCCCCCCCATGGGGTCTCGAAAACGTTTGAAGGGTGTGCCGAAGTAAGGGGGGTACAATATGAAATGCCCCGCCACTGCGGCATCCACTGGGGCTCAATGATGGGCCACAAAACGCACGACGGATTTACCGAAATTGGAAGGGGACTGCATGCGATACCCTGCCGCGTATGGTTTCGAGGGAGATAGCTGTGGGGCAACGCCCCGGTGTGAAGGGGCGTACCGGAATGGGCGGGGGACCGTATGCGAGACCCTGCCAGTGAATCCCTCTGTTCGTATGGGGCAACTAAGCGTGTGAAGAGTATGCCGAAATGGGCGGGGGGACCGCGTGCGTTATCCTGCATTAGAAGCCCTCGGTTGAACTCCCCGTGGGGAGACGAAGCGTATGAGGGATGTGCGAAAATCACACAGTTATACCTCATGCGATGCTCTGCCACTGCAGCCCTCGTTGAACATTTGTTGCTGGAGCGATGCAACGTGCGGGGTGTGTGCTACAATGAAATGGGGGCACGATGCCTTTAAGCTGGGTTCGTCGGTGGAACTCACTCATGGGGCAAACGACATGTGGTGCGTCTTTGCGTTGTTATGTGTGTATGTGTGTGCTTGAGTGTGCGTGCGTGCGTGTCCGTGTGCCGAAATCGGTTGGGGGGCACCATGCAAGACCAGAGGGGGCGACGTGCAAGCCAGTGCCATCGAGGCCTTCGGTTGGGTTCCGCGGGGGGCACGGAACGCGAAAGGGGCGCGCCGAAATCGGCAACCGCAGGCCCTTGATAAAACATCCTTGGGGATAAGGAAGGTCGTGGTCCAGGGGAAGATAAACGTTCGTTCCTGGAGACCGCAGCAAAAAAACGTCGAGGAGGATGATGACGCTGGTGATGATGATGATGATGATGATGATGGTGATGGTGATGGAATCTGATGATGTTGATGATGATTGTGCTGAACGTGATGATGACGACGATATCCTTGCCAGCTCTGCGCACGTGCAAAAACTGGCCCGCGCCCTGGAGATCCTTGGCGCCCCTTGCCGCGAAATCTCTTTTGCGAACAATCTCGAAAACCTTGCCCATGCAGGGTCGGCGCCCCTTGGAGCCGCCTTAGCAGAGCCACCGCGAGGGCCTCCTCGAAGGTCTTGCGCATGGGTTCTGGAGCAGACGGGCCATTCGGCAGCTGGTCCTCCCTCTTGCACTTGGCCTCGCCATTGGCCCTGGCAGAGCGGTTGTCGCTCGCGCCCTGAAGGGTGCGCATCCACTCGTTGCCTCGAGCGCGCGCCATGTCGACGCTGATAGGCGGTTCGCGGCCCTCGCGTCGGATCTCACGCAGGGCGCGCTCGACCACCTCGTCGCCCAGGGCCCGCGGGACCAGCTGCCCACTTGGAGCGTCTCGTTGCTGCTCGGAGGGCGTTCCTCGCCAGGGCCGATGGCGTCAAGTTTCGGCTGCTCCTCGCGCTGGCCTGCTCGACGTTCTCGGGCGGCTTCTTGAAGGCGTCGCGGCGCTCGGCGGCCGCACCCGCCCCCTGCTCTTGGCCCAGCGCCTCTGCCGCTGGTGCTGGGCGGCAGGATCGCCCTCGCCCCGGCCCTCTCGAGCCCGGGCGACGGCCGCCGCGGGCTCGACCGCCGCGACGCTTCCAGGGGCGCCCGCGCGCTCGTCGATCTCGCCGAGCAGAGCGCGCGCCGTGCTCAGCTCGAGGGCGTCGCCCTTCTTGATCTGCTCGCAGCGCGCGATCGCGCGACCCTTGGCGAGCTCGGTGCGCGGGGGCCACTCGCGCGCAGAGACAGCCCAGCTTCTGCGGCGTGGGGCGCATGTAGTTCTGCTCGATCAAGGCCCGCGAAACTCCGGAACTCACAAGCAAGCGGAAGCTCGTCAACGTGCGCCTGTGAGCCCCCGAGCCACGGTGCTTTTGATCTGGAAGATCGGGCTCTGTCGCGCCCGCCCCCGCGGACCCCTTCCTCGGCGACGTGGGCCACCTTGCCGCGTCAGGGGGGGGCCGGGGCCCTTGCAAGCCATGAGGTCCGCCCTCCATCGCTTCCGCCTTCGCCTTGTCGCCCGTCTGAGATATTACCTTGGCGTTGAACCTCTGGGAGAAGCTTACCTTGGCCTTCGGAATCCTGCACGGAAACTTCGCCATGGTTTGCCGCGGCCCAAATGCTCGCGCGCGGCGCAAGTCTCGGCCTTCGCGCGCCGCTTCTCGCGCCGCAACTTGCCTAGAGGGCGCGCGGGAACTGTGTCTCCTTGATCCGCTCCTCGGGCGGCCCCAGCGCGCCCCTCTGCTCCGCGGTGAGCTCGAAGTCCAGCTCCCGGAGCTCCAAGAGGCAGGGGGGTTCGTCCTGCTCGCAAACCGCGGGCAAGTCCTCGACGCGAAAACAATGGCCGCCCAAGTCGTTCCAGTCGGGCACGGGCGGCGCGCTCTCGGGCCAGCGCCGGGCGCCCCCCAGGCGCTCGCGCGCCAGCCTCGGCCCCGCGCCGCGGCCGAGCTCCACGGCGTAGCTCCAGGGCCCCGGGCCCGCGACGACCTGGAGCTCGCCTTGCTCGGTCGGCCAGACCGCGAGCACGTGGTTCGCTCGAGCTTAAGCGGGCCCTGGAAACGACAGGGCAGTTTTTTTCCACCGGTTCCGTTGTGCTTTTTTGGTTGCCAATTCCGACGCCGTTTTTGTTTAACGGTTCCGTCGCCTTTTTTGACTGGGCCCGGCTCCGGTTCCATCCTGGCGCATTTTCGTTGGCCGTTTCCGGTCGCCGTTTTTGCTGCCGCCGTTTGCATTTGCAAAAAAATATATGGGAAACGGCGCAAAAAACGGCCCTGCCGTTTCCGGGGTCCACAAAGCGGGCTGGGTACTTGCACTTCTTCTCGGGCTCGGCCTTTTTCCCTCTGGATCCAGTCCTGCACTCTGAAATCTCTTTTGCGAACAACCTCGAAGAACTCGCCCATGCAGGATCGGCGCCCCTTGGGGCCGCCCTTGCAGAGCCACTGCAAGGGCCTCCTCGAGGGTCTTGCGCTTGGGCTCTGGAGCAGACTGGTCATTCGGAAACTGGCCCCCCCTTGCACTTGGCCTCGCCATTGGCCTGGCCCTGGCAAGCGGTTGTCGCTCGCGCCCTGAAGGGTGCGCATCCACTCGTTGCCTCGAGCGCGCGCCATGTCGATGCTAATGGGCGGTTCGCGGCCCTCGCGTCGGATCTCGCGCAGGGCGCGCTCGACCACCTCGTCGCGGCGGCATGCTCGACGTTCTCGGGCGGCTTCTTGAAGGCGTCGCGGCGCCCGACGGCCACGCCCGCCCCCTGCTTGGACGTCCTGGAGTAGGTGTAGTGCGCGGGGGCCTCTGAATGCACCGCGATCGAAAAGTGCTCGGCCTTCTCGACTCTCTCGGCCCAACGCCTCTGCCCCTGGTGCTGGGCGGCGGGATGGCCCTCGACCCGGCCCTCTCGAGCCCGGGCGACGGCCGCCGCGGGCTTCGCCGCCGCGACACTTCCAGGGGCGCCCGCGCGCTCGTCGATCTCGCCGAGCAGAGCGCGCACCGTGCTCAGCTCGAGGGCGTCGCCCTTCTTGATCTGCTCGCAGCGCGCGATCGCGCGACCCTTGGCGCGCTCGACGCGCCGGGCCCCCTCGCGCGAAGAGACAGCTAGGAGAGCGCGTAGGTCTGCTCGACCAAGGCCCGCGAAGCTCCGGAACTCACAAGCACTCTTCGACAACCTTCCGCCTGCTTCCGCCTTCGGGCTCGAAGCCCCCGCCGGCATCCGCGGTCGTTTCCGCCAGCTCCCGCCGCCTCCTGGCCCACAGGCGGAAGCGGGCGGATGCTCGTCGACGTGCGCCCGTGAGCCCCCGAGCCTCGGTGCTTTTGATCTGGAAGATCGGGCTCTGTCGCGCCCGCCCTCGCATTCCCCTTCCTCGGCGACGCGGGTCACCTTGCCGTGGCAGGGGGGGGGGGGCCTTGCAAGCCTTGAGGCCCGCCCCCCATCGCCCCCGCGTTCTCCTCGTCGCTCGTCTGCGATATCACCTTGGCGTTGAACCTCTGGGAGAAGCTTACCTTGGCTTTCGGAATCCTGCCTGGCTTCGCCGCAGCCGCGGCGCGCGGCCCAAATGCTCGCGCGCAGCCCCACCGCCGGCCTCGGCCTTCGCGCGCCGCTTCTCGCGCCGCAACTTGCCTAGAGGGCGCGCGGGAACTGTGTCTCCTTGATCCGCTCCTCGGGCGGCCCCAGCGCGCCCCTCTGCTCCGCGGTGAGCTCGAAGTCCAGGCCCCGGAGCTCCAAGAGGCAAGGGGGTTCGTCCTGCTCGCAAACCGCGGGCAAACCCTCGACGCGAAAACAGTCGCCGCCCAGGTCGCTCCAGTCGGGCACGGGCGGCGCGCTCTCGGGCCAGCGCCGGGCGCCCCCCAGGCGCTCGCGCGCCAGCCTCGGCCCCGCGCCGCGGCCGAGCTCCACGGCGTAGCTCCAGGGCCCCGAGCCCGCGACGACCTGGAGCTCGCCTTGCTTGGTCGGCCAGACCGCGTGCACGCGGTTCGCTCGCAGCCCGCAGGGCGGCGCCGCCCCCGTGTGTTTCT